CTCTCTCTCTCTCTCTCTCTCTCTCTCTCTCTCTCGTTCCTTCGTGAGAATAGACGACGCGTCTCGAGTGTTCTATTTATGCCTCGCGCTGTGTAATTACTAGCCTCCGAATATCGAGCATGCAGTTGTCTTACAACGCGCGATCTTATTACGGGCGTCACGAGGAGGCATGACGCCTTCGTTCTCTCGTCACTGAAATACGATCCTCATTCAGTAATGTCGGTGTAAATTCTTCTTCGTCAAGTCTTGACGCGATATAAATGGTTGTTAACATTTTTAATAATAAAAACAAGTAATATATTCCTTTAAAAAGTTTGTAAAAGTTTTGGTAGCCCGTAAGCAGGCGTTTCCAGTGTTTCCACCTATCGCGGTTATGTTGTTCTTAACATACGCGAACATGCTAATTAAAAGTAGAATAATTTCCGCTCGTTTTCTTCGACGCGTTTTTTTACCCTTTCGCGCATCCGGTTGTCTTTCCTCGAGATTTATTGGAATCGCAGCCGTGACGAATCGGCCGCGCAAGGAAGATCTCGAGAAGCGCACGAAATCAGGTTTAATTCAATTGTACGTAAAGTATAATTCGTGCGTCAACTCTATTGTCAGTTTTATTGCGTTTGTTTTGACTTTTTTTTATCTATAGTTTCTCTCGCTTGTCCGATGACGCTTTATCAATTTTGTGACGCAACTCTTATGAGTCACCTAAATATTGATGTTCTAAGGCCGCTGCAAAAGTAGAGAGGCACCGATGACTCAAGCGGGCAGAGCAATAAGCGCGTGGCTACTTTCTTTTTAGAAAGTTTTCGCGATATTATCGGGAACGGAGCAATTATTTGCGAACAGCGTATTGTAACGTCGGATGCTTTCGCGTCAGCCTTACTCGTGATTTTCAGTAATAACGAAATTTAGGATAGCGTGTTACTGTTGCAATACGAAATTGGAATATTTATTTATTGTTTTCTTATAAACGTAACCTCTACTAAACGCGATCACTTTCTCTCTCTCTCTCTCTCTCTCTCTCTCTCTCTCTCTCTCTCTCTCTCTCTCTCTCTCTCTCTCTCCCCCCCTCTCTTTCTTTTATGATAATGTACCGTTGATGCAAAAGTTATAATTTTAGAGGGCCTCACTTTTGGCGGAGCGGGGAGACCTTGAAAGTGCCCATGTCCCTTTTCTGCAAAAATCGCGAACGACTGGCCGCACGTATTCGAGAGAGGTGTATTCCGCGTGCAAATACTCCCGAGGGCTTCTTCGTCGTTCTTCAAGGTGGCGTGGACGTTCCCTTCAACGACACGGACGTAAATTTTGTCTTCAGACAGGTGGGTATTTACATGCTGTTATATTATGCTCTTTATCAGATCGCGGGAAATGTAATTGACCGCTTCAAAACGCCGGGATGTGCAAGATCCAAAATTCTTAGACAATGCGCGCGTAAAGGTTTTTTTTATTTTAAGAAACAATGCGACATCTAATCCTAATTTCTAAACGCGGATCGAATTTAGATGCGAAGGTTTCCGAAATTCGGCGGTTGTATTGGGGACAATCTTTTTCATTGAAAATTTCCTTCGTAGAAGAATAATTTATTGGACATGAGATTTGTGTGAATCGCGATTAAGAGAAAGAGATCGTTTTTCCTTCCACCGTGATCTTTCAGAAACGTGAGGCAAAGTTCGCGATTGTGGCTCGCGGGGGAATTCCGAAAATTCAACCGTAATTACGCGCTCTGACTTTTACGGCTATTTGTCGCACGTCTCTGCCGGAGTAACGACCGTGAAAGACAATTGAACTTCGCCGCGAGGTATTCAATACCTGTAGCCATCAATGTGAGAGAGTTAATTAGATTTTATTCGATCGGATCGATTGAGAGAGAAAGAGAGAGAGAGAGAGAGAGAGAGAGAGAGAGAGAGAGAGAGAGAGAGAGAGAGAGAGAGAGAGAGAGAATTGCGCGACAATTACGAATTGAATTCGTCGAACTCGGATCGCTTATCGCCACATGGCTGCGACTGGTACAGAACGCATGTTGATAAATTAGTCATCGATAAGATTGGCATGATGAGTGTACGCGCTTGCGAAAGTTTATAGTATGCTGGAGTTGGTTAAAACTGTGTGTAAACACATTATAACATTCGCATAATTATATCAACGAGAAAAACGTTTATACACGTTTACTATTAGAGTATGCTTGTTACAGAAACGTAATGTGAAGGTATTATCGCGAAAAGGCGATAATAAAATTAACCGACGAGCGCGGTAATAAAATCAATTACAGCGCTAAGAGAAAAGAGTTCGCATCGCCCCACACTTATAATACAACTTATTTGCAATTCATCGTAATAAAAATTTTCTTTTGGGAGGGGCGGGGGCCTCTCACTCGTGCCCGACCTATATCAGATAATTTTACCCGGTGCGAAAACTAAATATTATTTTCTGGCGCGTTTTATCGCGCGATAAATATCGCGGTATTTCTTACAAAATAAGCGACTTCGCGCGTTTCGCACATGACTTGAACGTGATATTTTACTTCACCGTATTGTCCACCGTTCTTGTATAGATGCAGTCACTCGCGCCTCTCGTCCTCTCCGTTAAACTCTCGCATTTTGTGAGATTAATTTAATTTCCGTGACGAAGCGGCGATAATAATGCAGCGGATCAGAATGGCGCGCGGAGATTTCCGCGGGGCGCGGGGCGGCTCTGTTTGCAAGTTTATGAACTCTCTCGCTTCTCGCATGAATAACCAACCGCTTCACCGGACTATTCTGGCGGATGGAGTTCCGCCGCATTTACATCGCCGAAAACACGTTCCCGTGAAAGCGCGAGTCGCCGAAAATCGACGCGATGAGCGACGATCCGGTCGGGACACGCTCCTGGCGCGCAGACGAATGCTCTGGCAGATTGCCTTTAAAACCCGCTTTGCTAGAAGCGAGGTACCGTTCGGAGGACGGCACTCTCTACAAAAACGCACGGCCCCGCGCTCCCGTTCGTCCGTCCGTGCTCCAAAGCCGCTTTGTTTAGCGATTGACCGTGAATTTTTCAGCGGGCCGCGAGGCAAAGTCTTGCTCCATCTATTTCCACGCCAGCACGCAAACTTATTTACCCGCATTAAACGCACGTACAGCTTCATCTTTTGCTTGCACTCGCATCTCACGTCTTTCGGCACGTGCTTTATTATTATTTCTACGCGGGGATACGAGAGCGAAAAGAGATTTGCTCGGCGTGCCAGGTGCACACGTTAAAATGTACTCCGACTCTGCGTTCCCATGCGAAATGTACGTACGGTGGAACTCGAGCCGATTGTGTTCGACGCTTGGCGAGCGATCTTTGTGTGCGTACAGATGGTGCAGACCGCTTACATTGCTCAGAATTTGTTCGTTGAGATTACGGCCATTGTTACTCTCGGTTAACATCTAAAAATAACGTTCCACTCCTTTTCATCACTTGGCGTGTATAACTCGCTCTTTAATTCGCAAACCGCTAACATGCAATTCATGAGGCTGCGTTATTCAGTTGCCCGCACTCGGAGGAAAAAAAATGGCGAATCGCAAAAATATTTCTCGACTCAACCTGCGGTCACCGCAGACGGCCGAGCGAACGTTTGTTAATTCGCCAAAATGTTTATTAATTCAAGAAAATACTTGTTTCGGCGAATGTTTCGCTTAAAAAAAGTATTGTCGACAAAACATTTAATCGCATCAACAACTTTCTCTCTCAGCACATTTTAATCTTGAATCAATTTTTATCTGATATGTAGATACGTTGCATTCGATGTTTACCACGAATTGATGGTCATAGACGATCGGCGCATATTTAGCGCGGCTATAGAATTCGTGACCCAAATTACTTCTCGCCTACGAGATTTGCCTTACGGTAAATTCGTACGGTAAATTTTCGCGCGGCGGAGGAAAAGCAGAAATCATAAACGCAACCAAGTCAAATCAGATGGTATCTTCGCTTCGTTTAAGGTTTGTGGTTCGCGAAAAAAAAAACGGAACTTGAACGAAGCAAATTCTCGAGAAGAGCGCTCAATCGCGACTGGAGGACTCCGCTGTCGGTTCTTTTTTTCTTCAATGCGCTACGGTCTTTACAGCGTGAATTATCTCGAGAAGTTCCAGACCGGTTCAAATTTGTGCTACGCTTGCGTCATTGTTGATCTTCTCAGGCGACGTTTGCGCCGCAGTTTATGAGCTTGGAGAGAAACGCACCTTCGTCTCCACTCACTTTCGAGTATCAGTTCCAGTAGCCTTAACAGAGAAATGTAATTTATAATTTTATTTCAAGAACGTCTAATGATGTCGATTAAAGACTTGCGCCAAGAGCGATTTTCGCGAGGTTTCTCGTAGAAAAGAGCCGTGAGATTGTCGTTGGATCCGCGGCTGGTTGTACGTACTAGTGGTCTTAATTATTCGAAAGCTTCGAATACCAAATTTTCCAAGTTTTCCAATTTTTCCCGAAGATCCGAAGCTTCGAAGTTTCGAATTTTCCAAGTTTCGAATATTCGAAGTCAACTAATGTATTAACATATAAGTTTTCGATGACCGACCTGATTTATCACCTGTATTGGTGACTGAGGGTAGACTATCTTTATATAGATGACAGTGAGTGGAATGCAAGGAGTGAGAAACTTTTATACCCGGATTATATACCAACATTCAGTGTTGTGCATAGATGATTTTAAAATTAGCTAGATAAAGATAAAAATATATAAATTTATCTTAGATAAGATAAAGATGATTTCGTTTTGAGTATATCTAGATAAAAGATAAAATTATAAATATGATGATTCATCTAGATAATTTTCAGATAATATTTTTAAGACCATGTAAACACAGTAGAAAAAGTTATAAAAAAATTATAGAAAAATTTAAATTATAAAGGGGGATATAGAATATATTCAGGTTAAGTTATACATATGACACACACATAAATGCATGGTCTACAACGCCATCCATATTTAAATAGTGTAACTGTTAAGTATTTTTATGTGGCCCTAAACCAAATTATCTGTACGTTATCTTAGATTGACTTAGATGATTTAGTAAAAAATAACACTTTCTTTCATCCAAGATGCAGATATAGATAATACTTATTTTTATTATCTATATAAAGTCTATATAAAATCTATATAAGATAACGCTAAAATTTTATCTAGATAATCATCTATATAATTTTATTTAGATAACAGCAAGCACTGTCAATATTATTTATACTTAGTAATGACCTTAATTAGTTGGCATTTAATTAGTTCGCAGTTATAATAAAAGCGATTCATTTTACAAAATTTGCTATTGTTTTTATCTCGTTAATACATTAGTTGACTTTGAATATTCGAAACTTTGAAGCTTCGAAACTTTCGAATCTTGGAAAAGTGTGAAAACTTCAATTCTCGAAGAATTTCTACGAAGCTTTGAAATTGAAAATCTTGGAAGGAAAATCCCAGCTCTAGTACGTACGTCAGGTGCTTCTGCGGAGCATCCCGTATGCATGCAATCAACGTGGTGTTCCAGTTTCTAATTTGGCGAATAGCGGGGCCGCGCGTTTCTTTGTGCGCAACGCTCGCCTCGCTCGCTCGACAGTTAAAACGACGTACTCGCGCTGAATTCGATATCGCGGTGCTATTGTTGCGCGATGTTGCGATCAATACGGGACCCTTTCGTCGCCGGATTCTTTCTTAATGCAGCTGTGCATTAATCCGCCGCGCCGCCGTCGTTGTCGTCGTCGTATTCTCGACGCGTTCCTGGCTGTCCGCCCGGTATATGCGCCGCGCTCTTGGCGAACCGGCGATAACAACGATAATGGTTCTTGAGTAATTCGGTAAATTACTAAGATGGCAATATTTTTTTTATACTTTGAGAAACGAGACGAAATTATTTTTCTTTTTAGAAATATTTTATACACAGCGCGCCAGAAACGAGTCAAGTCTGTAAAAGTCGTTCGTTAACGCCTCGTACAAAACAGCTGCGGTAAGGCAATAGATATTATCTCTGCTAGTATGCCTGCAAGATACACGCGCTATCATACGGCCATGTATATACATATATATATATATATATATATATCTATATGTATATACACAGAACTTCTTTAAGATAATACCTGCTGGCTGCGCCGAGAGCGCGTTGACCTGATGGCTGATCGTTCTCAAGACGCTCTCTCACTCTCTCATCCCGTCGTCCCGCGTCCTCCTCTCTCTCTCTCTCTCTCTCTCTCTCTCTGTGCATCGGACGGAAATGAGAGCCCAAGAGTGGCCAGGAGACGGAGAGAGTGAGATGGCCCAGCTCTTGAACCCAAACACAAGGCGCAACGCGTTACGACTCGCGCGGACTCGCTCGGCTCATTTCTCATCGCTTCACCCTTGGAATTCCGATCTGCCGGATTTTTCGGAACTCACAACGACGACGACGACGACGGCAGCGGCGGCGGCGGCGGTGCTGCCTCCGCCAATGTCGCTAAAGATGCGATATTGTGGCATCAGGTATATATGTATGTATAGTAGATCCGTCCTCTCTGCAGCTGCACCTGCCGCATTTCTTTTCTCTCTCTCTGTGTCTCTCTCTGTCTCTTCCCCTTTCTAAGTGCGAGCGTTCGTACGCTTCTTTCGTTGTGACCCTGAATCATTCCGTTTGCTCCAACAGTCCGCTGTGTAAGGTCGAGTAGGATTTCATTCAAAGAAAAATAAGTGGGACCGGACGAGTCTTGCAGTTCATTAGTGAAGGTGCCACTGTCAGTCGGGAAGAAAGTGGTATTAGGCTGCCGAGATCCATTAATTGCTCACTGAAAGAAAACTGTTACTTGCGAGTAAAAATATCATTGATATAAATGTGAAGTGGGAAAATAAAATGTTGTTTTCGTCGACGAATTTATTGGAATCAATGTAAATTCAGTCAGCTGGCAACAGAGACAGAGATTAATCAAGATGAAAACGAGACTTGTTCAAAAATGTTGGCGATCCCGAGATAAATAACGTCCATTTTTCAGTAGAACCGCTCTGCCCTTTTTTTTTTTTAATCATGCCTGGTCCCATTGTTGTCAGATCCGCGAACAAAAAATTTGTTGACCCGAGCACCGCGGGAATAGGCCTGCGGGCATTTACTAATATACAAAACAATTCTGGGAAGAACGTCGAGGATGCCTTTGACAAGACCTCGGCGCGGTTTGACTGTTAAAAACGGGCACCGAACGGTGGAAACCAGGAACGGCATTTCCGCTTCGGCCATCAGCGAGCGAAGGGGAAGCGTCGAGGCGGCCACGCGCGCGCGCGCGCGCGGACACACTCGCGTGATCCTGTTTCCTGTACAGGCTTTTTCGATGCCTCCGAGGGAATTCAAGACCCGGCCGGGCGTGAGATCGCCGCGGAGAATCCGCTGCAGTATTTTTATCGCAGTTGAGGAGATGAAACAAAAAAATAAATAAAAACGACGAGAGGAACACAAAAGAGTCGGCCATTGAGAGCGGAGAGAAATTCCGTTCGCCGTAGCCGGCGATCCGTATCCTTCGCCCGTAAAGGAGACCGACCTCGCGCCCAGGACTTGGCACGATTGCGAAACATCGCCCATTAGAAGTCGAGAGGAATCTCCTTTGACGATTGTACCTGGGCATCGGGACTCGATGACGTGGCCCCCCGCGATATCTTCTCGAACCCGCGGCCGGCGTGCGCCGACCGGGGGCGGCATCGATTTCTCACGTAATATCGCGTGATGACCCATTTGCACGGGGAAGAGAGGGGGGGGGTGGGAGGGAATAAATATCGCGACATTCGATTTCGAGAATGGAACTCGCCGCGGAGAACGGGAACGCGCGGAAATGGCCGTAAATATCGCCCCGCGCGCCCCTCAAGAACGCCGTTCCTCACCTCGATTACGCAAGCGGCTATCGATTTTGTAATAAAAGAGAAACGTTTATCACATCGCGCGTCTTTTGCATTCTTCATCATTCCGCCATTATCTTCTCTTTATTTACGCTTTGCAATTTTTATGTAGCGTGACAGTTTCTGCGCGCGCGCGCGCGCGTGTGTGTGTGTGTGTGTGTGTGTGCGCGCTCGTAACAAATAGTATTTGTACGTTAGATAGCGATACACCATCGTGCGTATACTATTTCCAGAGTTAGTTATTTAAAGAGATGTTAGACGATATCGCGCCGCTATTATTACGCGACGTTCTTGATGCCCGAGGCCCCTCTATTATTCAACACCGCTATTGCGACTTCCGTAACTCTTTCGCGCAGCCCCTGTATAGCTTTGTTGTTTGCTCTCTTTATCAGGAGTCGTTCTTCCAATGGTGCTTCGGCGTGGAGGAGCCGGACTGTTACGGCGCCATCGACGTCGCGAACGGCCTCTCGTACCTCTTCGTGCCCAGGCTACCAGCCGAGTACGCGATCTGGGAGGGCAAATTGTACACCCTGGACGACTTCAGGAAACGATACGGCGTGAACGAGGTTCGTTACACCGACGAGATTGCGGCCGTGCTGAAGGAGAAGAGAGCGCAAACGTTGCTCCTGCTGGTAAGTTCGCGCCTGGGAACAGACGGACGTTCACCGGGCTCTCCCGTCTGTCCCTCCCGTGAGGTAGGAGAAGAGTACTCAGTCCGAGGATAACCCGGGCCCAGAGGCGACCGCGATATTACAATGGCCACACTCAGCAGGCACAACTGTTGAGTGAGCGCTCAATAATTTCTTAATACGATTGGCTGGATCTAAAAGTATTAACCAATCATACTGAGCGCTCACTCAACTGTTGTGTCTGCTGAACGCGGCCAATGGCGTTTCTCTCTTTCAACGTAGCGCGAACGCGGTCGTCAATGAAGAAAGAGAGGATCCCTAGGTTGAGCACCCTCCTCCACGTGCATGTGTGTGTCCCGCAATAAGGCGATTCGCCGCGGCGTGCCTCGTAACGTTTACCTTCGCCTCTTTCGCGGCTGTCTGCCTCTACAATGTGTCGAGAAAGTTGCGTCGGTCGGTCTGGTTTCGCCGAGACGCCCGAGACTCTCCGTTTGCGTTTGAACGCGATCGCTCGCCTCCTTCCCAAACATTCGTAGTCGCGAGCGCGTCGCGCGTAGCGTACGTGCGAATTTCTGCGGCATTGTCACCTCCATTTGTCACGCGGCGCGGCTCGAACGTGCGCGCTCCAAGTCGGGGGCATCGCCTGGCGACGCGTCGCCTTTTGCCTGGGATGACTTACCAGTCCTGTTCTCCGCGCGTCCAGCACAGATGGGACTTGCAAAAATCCCGGGTCGCATAATGGCCTCCCCGTGCGAAACGCCGCGCGTTTAAATGCCGGCCCTGTTGCCACGCGGATTAGATTTACGGTGGATTTAGCAGAATCCCGGAGCGCATTCCTCGCGCTCTCCGTAACTAGTAACCCGTGCACGCGGATACGTCGCACTTATTCGGTGTATTTTTTTACCTCCCGAAAAAAAGAAGAGAGAGCCAGAGAGTTAGAAGGGAGAAAGACGAGCGCGATTCGTCGCGCCGTTCGGAGTCTCGTATTTATTTTCTCTTTTCTACCGTTTGCTTTCGCACGTCTGGATCTCTGATTTAAGTCCGGTTTATTCTCGGGCCACTTGATGGTTTAGAAAATCGCGATGAAAAATATAAATAGCGGCGCAACGTAGCCGGGCAGACGTAGCGCGCGCCGCGGTTTATAAAAGAAGAAATGACACACGACGGCGCGCGTAACACTTTTATCCGAGGCTTAATGACATGCTAAGCGACGAGACCATAATAACATAGAATATTCGCTCCATCCGCGACCTCGTGCCTGCAGCGGAGCCGCGCAAACCGATTCGCGAGGGCGATTTACATAGCTCCGCTGTATGTGACACAGATCTATCCGTGGCGTCTGTCGCTCGGATCGCGCTGAAAAGAAAACGGCCGATGAATTTTTCAGCCGGTCGCCGCCTAACGAGCAACAATTTGTCCCTAGCCGCCGGCGCATCAATGACAACGTAACTGGGTGACCGGCCGGGGTATTGCGGGCGACCCGAACCGTGCATACTCGAGTGCATTACGTGGAACGCTTATCTGATAGCGCGCCGCCGCAAATAGATTTCGCGTCACCAAGTCCAAAAGATACGGCGGCCTGGCCTCGGTATCGATTGCAACTCCCGGCAATGCGGAGAATACTCTATTTCCAGTAAACCGGCGCCGAGCACCTCGGTATTCTTGGTACACGGGAAATTGCGGATAATTCGTATCGTTAATAAACAAGTCGATCGATGGAAAAAGCGCTCTATTCCTGAAAATAACTTTTTAACATCACCAGTGGATTTCGCTCAAGTTTGCGCGCCCAGTTCGACCGCGTGGACTGCTCGTGATCGCTGAAACGACTTGAGGATTATAAATAAATAAATAATATAATATAATAAAAAAGAGGATTATAAATAAATAAATAATATTTATTGGTGAAAATTATGTTAAACGTAGAAATCTCTTCGAGTTGCCGGTAATAGATGACAGTGATCAAGCTTTTTAGTCGACTTTAACCGGCCAGTGTTTTAATGCAGAAAATTTCTTGCGAAAAATATTATCTCAGCCAGGGTTTGAACCTGGACTTCCCTTCTCTCTAGGCGGGCGTCTCACGTGAAAATTATTTTACGTGCTAAGCTTCAAAGAGATTGTTTATTGACTCTTATTTAAATAACATTCATTGATACGCGCACTCTCTGCTCTTAACAAATGGAGTAATAATATAATATCGATTCAAGGATAACTGGGGACAGTTCGATGAACGTTGTTTCAATAATTTAAACTTAATACAATTACGTATAATTTCGATTTGGTACAATTACGATTGATGTAAAATAAAAGTGGTTAATTATTTTCATAAAGTCACGTGCGCTAACAGCATCGGAAATCGGAGTAAAGAATAAAATATCTACCGTTCGAATAATTATAAGCGCTGGTGTACGTATTGACGTTTCCCGTTAGCAGATATCTATCTCTCGTATCTTCATCTTCAGGTAGTATAATTGTTTCAATAGAGAGAGAGGGGGGAATATTCTATAAGTAGATATTCCGCCCGGATAATAGAACGTTCGAATAGTAGGGCGTTCAAATAGAGTAGATTATTCGGACAATGGAGGTTTCGAACAAAGCGATTCTATTTGTATTGGGATCGAAAAGCTCGCGGCACGCTTATGATTTTTATACCTAGTATCTCTATCAATATATTTGTAATACGTTCTAGATTTCTAAATTTCTTGAGTAAAAACTTATGTGGATACACATTTTTCCGTCCGGAACACTTTTAACAACTATTCGGCACCGAATAGACTTCCGAGTCTGAATTCAACCAGTCGTCTGTTAGAAAATGGACAAATCAGGATTTCTTTAGGATTTACCAGACGCGTAGCGAGGTCTGTCAAATTTCTGATTATGAAATATCGAGCCCCGTCGCGATGAGACTAGAAATTCCGTTTGATTTAATCAAAACACATTCTATCGCACGTGTCTTGTTGATACAACGAGAGCATTTTTCTCAGTGTGCGAATTGCATCAGCTCTCGCGATTAACATTGTTGCGATGCAGTTATTAATAGCTAAACAGTTATCGTTATCAAGTTAAATAATAAATCGACCTCGACTGGCAGAGAAAATACAAAGCAGAGAAACGTTGTGTGTTTTCTAAATAAAGGATTTTTTCTACTGGTCGAGGTCGATTTATTATTTAATTCGACGTTTTAACACTGGCAACTTGAAGAATTAACGTTATACTTCATTATCGTTATTGACGAAAGACATATTGATCGCGGAAGATGCGATGTTAGCGATGAGTTTAAATACGTTGTATTTTTACAGCAATTTTTTAACCATTTCCGTCGTGACGTAAGCGACCTGCGCGTCGCGATCGCAAAGACATTTGGGCAAATTCGCGGAACTAGTTTGGCTAATAAACTAGTTACGCGGGAACACGCAATTCAGGCCAATTTGGGGCAATTCCGAGCATTTTGCGATTCCCGCGGTGTGCGCATTAAGCGATTCCAGAGACGCTCGCGTGGTTTACGTGAAACCAGGAAACTCACAAAGGCCCGCGCGCGACAGAACGATGGTGTTTCCCGGAATCGTAACGCGCGATTATCGGCCGATATTTGCGCGCGTTGAGCGTTGTATATGTAGCGCGAGGCACTCGTCCCGTCGGGTAAATTGACATGGAGCTGTCAGTGTTTGTCTAGCGCGGCCGGATCGATCCGAAGCATGAGCTCACAGATGTCATTAATGCGTCCACAATAGCCGCGAGAGACAGGTCATTTAAACTGCCGACCGTATCGAAAATCGATTCGGCCGCACCATGGACCTAAGAATCTCTGGACCGAGCACGAAGTGGGAGAACGGGCAAGGGGGCTGGCAAATTTGCGGTAAGGGGGGGGCGAGAGTGCTCTCCTTTTCTGTCCTCTTGGTATCTCATGGTATCTCTTTCTACAAGAGGTCACTGTGACCTCTTGTAGAAAGAGAGGTCCAAGAGGACAGAAAAGGAGAGCACTCTCGCCCCCCTTACCGCAAATTTGCCAGCCCCCTCGCCGCATGCTCGGTCCAGAGATTCTTAGGTCCATGGGCCGCACACGCTTCTACGAATTTTTCGAAGCTTGGCGAAACGACGTTGGCGATTGTTTACATCGGCGAAACGCCGGGACATTTTTTGGTGGGGTCTACAATGCTCAAGTGTCAGAGTCCTAGTCGTAAGAATAGTCGACTATGATTGGTCAATTATTATGTGTCTGACAGAATTGACCAATTACAGTTATTCAGTTATTCTTTCGACCGCGATCTGAGACTCGCATCGTGGACCCCGCATCTGTTTCCACGGGACCATCTTTAGCGTGCGCGAACCCGAAGGATGGGAGTTTTTGTTATTTTCACCAGTCACTCGAACTCGTCCCCCAGACTGGTCTGCGCGTTAGCACATAGACGCTGAGTAGTAGCTTCTAGCAGTGGCCATGTAGACCCCGGCCTTGAATCTTCTCCCTATTTTCTCTCAGCGCCGCTCAATAAATCGAATTGCCGCGAAACCCGACCGGGGAAAATCAATATTTAATGACTTCGCGGAGAGTGTTATTTCGCTGAAACGTACGGAGACGGCGGGCATGAATAAGAGATAGGACAACACTCGGTATTTGCCGCAGGCAGTCGCGATCGTCGTGCATTATTCCGAAATACGTGAGAACGAAGCAGCGTTTAACGCGCCGTAAGATCGAGATCGCGTTGCGCCGACTTCTTTTCTCACAGGACATTTCGAGATTTCGCGTTATTTAACCCTTTCAAGCGTGGTGGGTAACCCACGTTACCACCTCAACTTTTTTACTTTTGGCCCATTTAATTTCTAGTTTACGCATTTAGGTCGGATTTTTTGGGTATCTTAGCAATAAAAAAAATTTGCACATGGCTTTTTCATAGAGGAAGCTTTACGAGCGAAATCTAATTTTTTTCGATGTTTCTTGAAAGGTAGGCCTCTATCTATGTGTATTGAGACTTTTTGCTTCTACAAATATGTACATTTCTTCATTACATTTTGTACCATCACTTCTGAAACACACTGTATAATGAAAAAGATGGGCCTCTACCTATGTTTATTGAGACTTTTTGCTTATACTAGTGTGTACATTTCACCATTACATTTTATAGCATCACTTTTGAAACGCCCAGTATAACGAAAAAGTGTATGTACATGTACGGATTCCGTGAAATTTCAAATATCTATAACTCAAGAACTAATCAACTAAATATTAATCAATTATACAGGGTGTCGGATTCGATATGGACGACTCCAAAGATTATAGTAGATTGGGTTAAACTGAGAAGAAAAGTTATATACCATTTTACAAAATCTGTATTTATTATCGCCTAATTAAGAAAAACGTCTGAGCCAATAAGTGCACGGAGGAGCGGAAGGCCGGACTCGGCAGACATGCAAAATGGTGTGTTTGTTGACATCTCTCAAGAATCGATAACGAGAGGTGGAGTCACGCATCGATCGATGAGAGACGGTGGCGAGCGGGGAGCGGGGAGCGGTGAGCGGGCGAACGGCGCGCAGCGAGAGAACGCGCGACATATGACACCGTGCCGAAAAAGTTTTTCTGGTGGTAGGAGAATAATACACCATTTTATTAACATAATTAACACCATAGTCGTAGTGAAAAATCCGCGGAACTTTCTTGCCGCGTTTCTTTTCGATACCCTCGCCCTGCCGCAGATAAGTCGTGATCTCTTGGAAATCATTCCTTCAACTTCAAACAAGTCGACTCTGTCTGTCGATTTGCTATTCAAGAATTGGAAGCCGAGCCGACCGTACGTTTTGTTAAATATAATCATGACGCAACGTCTCGTGTAATCGACAACTTTTTTTCACATTTATCTGAGAGAAACGCTCCTTAGCCGTTGAGAGTCTTCGGTCTGGTTTATTTTTAAAGATTAACATAATGCAGGTGTAAGATACGCGAAATGAAATGTTTTCTGATTGCGATGTGATCGAGATATCTCGCAATTTTTGTCTCCATTCCAAGTAGAAATTTCGCAATCAACGCGTTTGTTTTACGTATAATAAGTTGAAAATTACAGCTAATTACCGTTTATTCCGAGGTTGTCAAATCGTTAATATGAAATTACGCTCTCGCATTTTAATCATTAATTATACCGCTGAATATTGTTTGCAAACAATGCCAAGCTGATTACCACTCGACAATGCGATATTCATGCGTGACAGAGCTCATTTAATGGCTGGTAAACACGAATGGAAACAAAATGATTCATCACCGGTCGGAATGGCACTGCCAAATCGGCGGCTTTATCGTACACGTGTACATACATGAATCGTACGCGAAGGGCCGTGACAGAGTGCTCGAGTTTTTCCTCGGTTTGCGATCTCGATGTCCTAACCGGATGATAACAACGAAAAGACACGTCGACCGCGTTCGTGGTGGAAACTCGTCGTTGAAATTATAGTAGGAACAGATCGGAATTGAGCCCGATATTTTCGTAAGCGATTTATTGCATATGCACGAAGGGGCTCGTTAAAATTTCTTTACCTCCGGCCACGGTCTTGTCGTCGCGCATGTAGCCGTTCGATCGATATCGGTTTAGAAATTTATGATCGCCGATAGACTAGCGAGATACGTGGTATCTGCATGGCAAATGAGACAAGTTTGGGAACTATACGGTCGCAGGGCGTTACATCATGATCCGAGGGGGAGAGCTGGGGGGAGCGCGAGATTAAAGCCGAGGTTCGTTCGAGCGCTGGGCAGAAATAGGCACGTTAATCGACGACGGCCGAGTCACAATGCAACCTTTCATGCCTAGCGGTAGCGCAAAACACACACGCACACCGAGGCATATCCTCCCCGTAGGGACACAGCGCGCGCGCGCGCGTGTGTGTGTGTACGCCGCAGAATAAAATATCTACTTATAGAGACAGATGACGGAGGTTGCCGCGTCTGACCTTTGTAAAATGTATTATACAAAAAGAAATATCATTTAAGACCTGTCGATATCCGAGAAACTTCAGTCAGACACCGCGTCGGATTCAAGTAAAATACGTTTTTAGATAGGAGAGAGCGCGGTACTCTGACAGAAAAAATGGTTCCAGTTACCACAATCTCACTATAATTTATAGTCATTTTAGGAGCCAATAACATTTTTTTAATTCTTCCAACTACGTAAGTTACGAGTGACTTAATAATGTATTCAATAGTTATTATAGACACAATATTTGTCCACGCAACTTATCATATGGTTGTCATAAACCAAAACGAGCTTTTAATTTGGTAAGGTGTACTATAAATATTGCAATAACAACCACAAGTAAAATCCCCCTTCGAACTAAACAACTTTTGTTTGAAACGTTTTTCCGTATCTTTCATATTTTTGGATATATTTGCGTGAATCATTTAAAATGAGACACCCTGTATATACATTGCGTTCACTGTGTACATTGGTTACATCACTTTGCGCTCATAAAGAAATAGTACAAGAAAGCATCTTTCAAAGAAAAGATAAGTAATCTTATACGAATGTATAAACTTATCCGTATTTCTAACACCCTGTGCTGTTTTCTTCTTATTACGAGAAAGTCTTGTACCGCGCGTCCCTCTAGTGAGGACATTCCGAACCACTTTACTTTTTTTACCATGTGATTAGTAAGTCAGATGATAGAAATGTAGTTAAATTTACTGTTATTGTGATTGTATTTACTATATAAAAAAAATTAACTGATTTACTATTCATTATCTAGATATTTTGATATAATAATAGTTAAAATTTTATAGTAAATTTTGTAAATAGTTGGCGCCACTGTGTCTATACGGTTGCTATCACTAATATTATAGTAATTACTATAAAAATGGTATTCCTAACTATAATTATTTTACTATGCAATTATAGTTTCAAATGCTACATATTTTTCTATGAGTGTAAGTTGAATTTTCATTCTCGGGGTCAGATTGTCGCGTTATCAGAGAGCTACGAAGTTACACGTTAAGTACACGTTTAACGCGTCCACCGGTCTGGCGAAAGGTAAATAGCACGCCGCCGCGCGGCAGCTTTTCATTACTTCTTAGCATTGATAAACACTTGTCTCGCGTAGACCAGCCACGCGGCGATACCGCTCGCGACTCTAATTATGATTACATTGCAAACACTATCGATACGTCGCGTACTTTTACGCGCGCGCGGCGTTTCACAATATCCAATACAACAAATGCTGACGGGCCACCGTTCGCGCGGCGCGCTATTTAGTCGACCAAACACTTTTATCCGCTCAGCGTAAAACGATTAGCGGCTCTCCGATATCGCAAGCGTGCGCAAAAAGCGCTCGGTAACCAGCAGTCATTACGGTGCAGGTGCATAATTTGACATGTTACACGAAAATCCGCTTTACGCAAGGAAACGTAGCGTTTGTACATATATAAAAGAAAAGGAAAAGTCTTGGCGCACACATGCGACTTGTGTGAAAACTTGTATATCCTATACTTGTCGCACGAGAGGTCAGAATTAAAAATTGTCACAGTGAGGAAACTGGCATTTCAGACTCCGCGTGTTGCGCTGCGCCGCAGCATAATTTAACGTGCCGATTAATCGCTTAATTAATGCATGACGCGTTAAGAATTTATGCGGACGTTGTCGCTCGCTTGATACAAGTAACGTTATCACGCACGTATCCTTCCGCGGACCGTAGAAATCGATGGCACGGGAAACGTGTTTGTTTCGCTTCCGGACCGGATGGAAGGCCGGCTCTCTGTCGCTCTCTTTCCCTCTATTCTGCACTGAGAAAATGTCCGATTAAATGTAATCGGATGATCCAATTGCATAATAACAAACGGATATATCCGATAAAAATTGTGATCGGTTTTTCAATCAAATTTCATCGGATGTGTCCATAATTTAATCGAAAAGATTAACCGTCGGAAACACTATTTAATTGGTTTATCCGGTGAAAATTTTTCTCATTGTGACTTGAATCCGAATTACATAAGCCGCTTGCTTTACTTTGGCCCGCACGTTGCCGTGCTTCCCAAACCGCTGCACCCGCACCCACAGAAAAAAATTCCAATGCTACTACACGGAAAAAAGAATGATGTTAATGTATCAACAAGATCGGTGAATTCACAGCAAATACAATTGAGTGAATTATTTATGTTTGTGGCAGCCCGTTAACGTGTAATTCAGCAACTTCATTTTGCTTAATTCAACAGCATTTTTTCCTGTGTACATACACTTGAACGTATCATAAAATAGGCCAATCATATTTATTATAGAGAAAGGAATATTTTAATCTTAAATAAAAAATTCTAAAATCTAGAATAAAATAATAGTGTGTATCGTCTTTTGTCAAATATATCGTGGTGCCAACTTGGTGCGTTGTAAACATGGAGGGAAAATTTATTCTAAACGCAAGAATATATAAACTTACATTTATACAAGTTACTCATGTCTCAGTATAGTAAGTCAATCTTTTTTAATTCGATACAGGAGAATAAGAATTATTGATTTTATTTTCATATTGTCTTATTTTTATATTAAATGAGGTTGTGAGAAATATATTTGTCTCGGTAACAGAAATCCTTTCTGAGGGTACGGTTACAATAATCGTTCCTTTTCTTTCCTATGCGCAGCACGGCGAGAACAGCGATAGCGGATTGAAGACGCGCAAAACGCATTTCGATGGCATCGAGAAGTAAGTGTGACGTTGAGAATAACGTTAATAGGAACACGCGGCGTGGACGCAAGTGACTTAACTGCGAATTTTCTTGCCGTAGATTTTCGACCGATAGTGAAATCTTGTATCCGGAAATATGCGAATGGTAAGTACATCAATTTTTTCTTTGTTTAATAATAAATATTGCATCTCTTGCTTTCTCCCAAATGCATCGGAGAGAAGAATGAGACAGCAACAGAGCTCATTTCTACGTGTGGATTAACTTTGATCTCGATTTAACTTGCATTTTCTGTTTTACTCCAGTTGTTAAAATTAGAAAGGGATAAGAAATTAATTTACATTGATAGAAATGGGCATAAAATTATTATAGACGCAAAGATTAGTGTAGGGTACAATGTAATAAATATATTAAAGTAAAAGTCGTATCGGGTTAAAAAATATCGCAGCTTTTGTCAGCTTAGTTTTTTGTTATTCGTATCGACTGCGCCTGAAAGAATCAGTGCCGCCATCGGCTGGTCGGCTCGTGGAATCATACACGTCGCTACAATCGGTACACAACTTTGACAACCTTTTCTATACTGGGTTATGACGTGTAACAGCCGTTTTAAATTTTACATTTAATTTGCCGCATTTAATTTTCAAACGAAAACCAATTAAAGAGAAAAAGTTGCCTCCCCTCCCCACGACGTGGCGCGCAAGCATGAGGAATGAGAAAAGTCTCCGGACGTGTCTCGAAGAAATGGATAAAATACCGAATATCTCGAATACGCGAGGCTTGTAATGTAACGCAGAAAGGTAAAAAGAGGAAGGGCCCATTGGGAAGCGCAATACGTTCTGAGTGCATTTGCAATTGTAGATGATGGCCTCGAGCCGGGGGAATTTTTCTGCGAGAGCGTTCGCGCGACCGTTCGGTTTAATTTCCAAATTGAAAAGGAGATGGTTCGAGACAAACGCGCGCGATCACGGCGGGGCACTGTTAACTCAGACGAGTGTCTTCGCGCAAGAGGGTGCTCGCATACAAGAGGTTCCCCTGATAGTTCGGATCGCCAGCGTCGAAGCTCTTCTCGACACGCGACGGACCGTCGGGTCGTCAGATAAGAATAAAAAATCCGCGATGATTTCTAAGCAGAGTGTACCTTCTATCGGCACGAGCGCGATCAAGGACGTACCCTCGAAACACACCATTAGCATAGAGACCGACGAGGGCACCGCGATACTGTATTGCTCCGATATCGAGAGTCTGAAAAACACGGACGTGGTGCAAGTTCTGGATGCGATAAACTCGGAGAACACGGGTAAGGGCGTTTACTCCTTGCTGGAGAAGAAACTCGCGGACGAGATAAATTGCCGGATAGCGCTCCAAAGTCTGAGGAAGATGATAGAGCTGGAAAGCGGGTGGTACCGATACCGGAGAGCCCCGTCGAGCACTCAGCCGTCCGCGGAGAAAATCAACAGAGACATCATTTTGCAACAGCTCGTAAGTCTGATCGGCAAGAGCCGAGACAGCGAGACGATACTGCAGGGGCTGAAGGCGCTGAAGAGAGACAGATTTAGCCCCCCGACAAACGTTTATAAGGACCGGATGTGCAACGAAGTCACGATCAGAGCCACGGACGGCGAGCTCACCGTGTCGCAGCTAATCAGAGCGGTGAGAATCCTGGCTAATTATGGAAACTCCAAGTACAGAAACTGCGTCGACGCGCTGTGGGTAGGTTTGACGTGCAGGGAACAGGATATTAAACCGGATCTACTGGTTCCGTTATTCAGATCGCTGAAATACTTCCAACGTAGCAGGAGCATGGTGCAGATCATTTTGGAAAAGAAACTGTCGGAGCAGTGGCTCAAGCTGACCGGCTCGCAGATGGCCAGTATACTGAACTGTCTTTACGGGAAAGAATGTTCGAAGGGCTGCTTGTCGAGCGCTAGTAAGTGGGCGAGCGTGAGTGTGACCACTTGCAGCGAGAAGGACCTCGTCAATTTTATTGGCGGTCTACGCGCGAAGAAGTATGTCGATGAAAATGTGGAACAAGCGCTGGCGAGATACGCGACGGCCAAAGGCACCGAGATGAAAGATCCTAATTTAATCGCCTCCATCATGGACTACTGCAAAGACTTGCGAATTCGAAATCCGTACGTTCTCGCCGAATGTGGAAGATACTTCCTGAGACACGGGATGGAAATTCCGCCTACGCTATTGTCCCCCATTCTCGCGCCTTTCGGACTACTCAATCTACAACCTCCGGATCCGACCGAGTTTTGGAAGACGTTCGACGAGGTCATGTCCGTGCGATTCTCAGATCTCAAGCTGAACGACGCTCTAGACATTCTCCTCTCTTGCACGTATCTCGAAAGATATCCCGTTAAGCTTTTGGATAAAGTCTTCGGTTCGTACCTTGTCAACAGGCTGCAAGCTCACAGGGACATGCCTATCGCCAATCGCCTGAAAGACAAATTGAAATTGTTCGACGCAACCATGTCGTTAGAATGCAAAGATTATCGTGGCAGCTCGATTAATCTAGACAGGAACACCAAGTCGTTGAATTTGGACATGAGAATCAGGGGCATTATCAATAAAATACACAAACCACTGGCGCACGTGGTAGGTGACGAGCACAAGTTGAGCAGGAGCGTGGTTCTGGGTAGACTGCCCCTCATCGATTTCTACATTTTGGACCTGCTGATTCACCCGCTTTCAAAGTCGACGCCAGTTTTCAGCTTGAATCTGCATAAAAAGAGAAACGTCAATACCGCGATTCTAATCCATTTGCCCGAGTACTATTGCTGGAATACGCGATTCCTGGTGGGGCCGCAAGTAATGCGAAAACGTCAAGTTAGAAAATTGGGTTTCCGAGTTGCACAGTTAGATTACGCGAGGCTGGCAGAGCTCGTAGATCAGGACGACAAATTGCTATCCTATTTGTCAGAAAGTCTGGACGCCGCCGAAGATGCTTTGTAAATCGTTTTGTGCGTGGTAGACCGTGCATTTCACGGATGGCGCAAATTTTGCGGACAAAACTGCGATGAAACGCGGTCGCAATCGCGCGTTCCTTTAATAAATAATATAAAGCATTGTACCCTAAATGGAATAAACGTTCGCAAAGATATGTATAACTTTTCGTAAGCTCTTCTTTCTGCTTTATACAGCCGGGTAATAAAGTCCCCGGAAGAAATTGAGGTATTGCGATACGTGTGCAAGATAAGTTCGAGTGCGCACGAGGTCATAATGCGCACCATGCGCCCTGAGACCCTAGAGTACCAAGCGGAGGCTTGGTTTTTGCACTATATATACGCCGAAGGAGGGTGCAGGCACGTGTCTTACACATGCATCTGCGGATCCGGACATAATTCCTCGATATTGCACTACGGTCACGCCGGCGCGCCGAACAGTAAGGTGATAAAGGATGGAGATATGTGGTAAGATTTTAGCAGGCGTTAGTCTGCAGCTGAGACATTCGTACGACTCGCTCGCATATTCCATACGTAATATTATGTGTCGCGACGCGTTTGCGTAACACTTGCTCTCTGTCGCGCAGCTTGTTCGACATGGGCGGCAATTATTGCGGATACGCGGCCGACATCACGTGCAGCTTTCCGGCCAACGGGAAATTCACCGAGGATCAAAAACTGATCTACAACGCGGTGCTGAAGGCGCGCGATGCGGTGCTGGCGGCCGCGAAGCCGGGAGTCGTCTGGACGGACATGCATCTTCTGGCGAACAGGGTCATGTTGACGGCGTTGAAGGAAGGTGGACTGCTGGTGGGCGACGTCGAGGATATGATCAAAGCGGGTCTCAACGAAGTCTTCCAGCCCCACGGGCTGGGTCACTTGCTGGGACTGGATGTGCACGACGTCGGCGGATATATACGCGGCATGCCTGACCGCCCGACGGCCCCAGGACTGAGAAAGCTGAGGACCGCGCGAAAATTGCTCGCCGGAATGGTCATCACGGTGGAGCCAGGCTGTTACTTTGTAGACTGCGTAAGTGTAGAGATAATTGCCGAACGATCTTTATACAGACTTAATAGAGCTGGTCTTTTTGGATCTTAATATGCGATTATATTAATATAGTAATTTTGTTACAGCTGCTCGACGCGGCTCTTGCCAATTCGGACCAGTCGAAATTTCTCGTGCGGGAACAGCTGGAGAGGTTCCGTGGTTTCGGTGGCGTCAGGATCGAGGACGACGTCCTCATAACAGAAACCGGAGTGGAAAATTTGACGCATGTTCCTCGCAAGTAAGCGTTTGTCTCGCGCACACTTATTTGCCGTCGATGCTGCCCGAGGCGAATACTATTCTACGATTTTATGTTTCAGAGTTGAAGAAATAGAGGCGGTTATGCGGCATTGATTGGAGAATTTGCACAAGTCGGAGAAAGATGGCGTATTTAAGAACAAAAGAGTGAAGAGTTGAACAAACTATATCCTATAATATTTCAATTAATTGTATAAGTTTCATTATAATAACAAGGTATCATTTCTTGTAATTATACGGATATATATTTTTATATCGATTATCATTTATATACTATATGTATATTATATTATATATAAATATACGGCGAAAAATGTACAGCGAATAAAGAGCGAAAGACTGAGACGCCATACTGTAACATTATATCGTTAAATTGATATTTCTGCGGCTATCGCGCTAGCAAAATTTCTCAAGCCCACGCGCCCGCACGTGTGAGACTTTCACGCTAATGGCTTAGGCTAAGACAGGTAGATTTAAGACCAACGCTAACAGTTATTCCTCGTCCGAGTGACGTCTATTTCGGAGTAGCTTGGCGGCTTCTGAATTGAAAACAGTTTCAACTTGGAGATACGTTAGCCTGCCGATCCGGGGCGGATTAGGTTCAGCTTAATTCGATGCACGTGGATACTTTTTTTACCGCGTGGACCGTGACCTTTCGTGCCCCCGGACTTTTGTCGCGGATCGAAAGTTCGCGCATGCCGGCCGTAGCGAGACGTAAGCGCGTGCGAGCGCCTCGGAGTTGCGTGACCGACATGTGACACGTCGCGATCGAGACGTCATACCAGCCAGCATTTGCGTGTCGTAGCGCGTTGTAGTATCGCATCTTGAATTTCACGGAGTAACATAATATCGAACTATTAACGTCAACGAACGGCGAGCGCCTCTCGTTCGCCGAGGCGCTCTCGCGAGCGTCTCCGATTTCGCGCGACGGGAAAGATAAGTCCGCGCGGTTTTCTCAGATAAACAGTTAACGATCAGGAGGGAGGCCCTGACGTTGGGATACTTAATCGTTCACGAGGGGCGGACATTGTGCTACAATTAGATCGCGTACCTAGGTCTGAAAATATGCCATTGGCTGATCCCTCGTCTACGACGCCGCTCGCGGTATGTTTATTTCTTAAGGGCCAGTTTCACAAACGACCGTTAACTGTTAACCGAAGATTTAGCGACTCCATATTTCTTTCTATATTATTATCTAAGGCTTAAAGTTTGGTAACGCGCCGATACGTCGCTTAACTTTAAGCTTAGTTTAATTCGTTCTTTGTCTTTTTCCAACTGTTACTTTAGAAAGAGACAAACACGAATTAAACCAAGATTAAAGTTTGGTAAAACCAGGCCTAAGACGAGATAGAGACTCGATTGAGCTTCAGTTAGCAATTAACCGACGTTTATAAAACTGACTAAGGTCCGGTTTCACCGACATTGTTTAACTTTAAGCTTAGTTTAATTCGTTCTTTGTCTCTTTCTAACTGTTACTTTAGATGGAGAGAGAAAGAGAGAGAGAGATAAACGTGAATTTAACTAAGATTTCATCAAACGTCGCTTAACTTTAATCTTAGTTTAATTCATTGTTTCTCTTTCTAAAGTTTGATGAAACCGGGCCTAAGGGCCAGTTTCACGAACGTCGGTTAACTGCTAACCAAAGGTTAATTGAATCTCTGTTTCTTCTTAAACAATAAGGTAGCAAAAGATAGGAAGTCGACTGAATTCTGGTTAACAGTTAACCGACGTTTAGTGAAACCGGGCCTAAGGCCTAAGGCTCGGTTTTACCAAACGTCGCTTTAATTTTAGTCGAATTCACGTTTGTCTCTTTCTAAAGTAACAGAAAGAAGCAAGAAACGAATTAAGCTTAAGCGTAAAGTTAAGCGACGATGGTGAAACCAAGCCTAACTAAGCCAAAGTAACAGTTGGGAAAAGACAAAGAACGAAGTAAGCTAAGCTTAAAGTGAAACAACGTCGGTGAAACTGGGCCTTAGACTCCAGCGCGACGCGACCCTGCAACCGGTCCGCTCGCGGGAGAATCGGACTCACCACCAGGTCCGAGGAGCCTGCACGGGGCCGCCGATCAAAGTGTGGCGTGTTCGCGATCGGTTTATAAATACACGTGTCGCGCGAATGTGGAGCGCGGACCACCAACGCTTGACGTCGACCGTCGACGTGGCACGCCAGGTACGGGGGAAGGGGAGGTCAGAGAGAAATCCCGGTGCACGTGCACCGTAAACTCGTCAAGGTGTCAACGGTGCCCGCCGCGACGGTTGCCCTGGCCCGCGCGATCGAAGCGGAAGCGCGCAGACGCGCTCGACACAGCTCGCGTGGACTGCCGAGTTCCTTTTTTTCTTTCTTCCTTGATCCCCCCCCGAGCGTCCCTTCGCTTCGTTCGACGTGATCTGCTCTACTCGTTCTCGAGGCTCTTCTCGAACAACTCGACGACGACAAGAACGAGTAACGAGGCTGCGTCGCGAGGGGGTGGATTTCGGTTTCCGAGATTTCCCGGATAAATCGGGCAGGAGAGCATCGGAAGCTTACGAAAGCTCTGAAAGAGGATACCGAAAGTTCAGATCAGATGCGATTACTATTTAGAAGCAGATTCTCGGACGCGCCGAGAGTCTTTCCCTTCGTCGTCGCTCGGTGCATATCATTTTCTTCTCGAGTGGACCAGATCGCACGCGCAAAGTAGACTTTTTTCCGAAGCGACGGCGCAAAACAGGACCTCCGTCGAGACACGGCTGAAGGAACCACGAGGAGCGTCTCGTCGCGCGGGTTTCATCAGCTTCAACTCGTCGCATTGGCGCGGGGCAACGGGGGGTTCCGGTGGGTTCCGGTGAACCCCCCGCGAATCAACTCGTGGCTTCGCGCCTCCGGCTCGGTGCCGCGGGGCGCCAGACGGAGACGGGTGTGAGCAGAGGAACGCGGCGGGCAGGCGTGAAAGTCGGCGGCTTCCGCAACACGCATGCCTGACGGTTGTCGTCGTCGTCGTCGTCGTCGTCGTCGTCGTCCGCGCCTTCGCGTATCGACGAGTCGCGCGAGTCGCCCGCCGGACGGTGCCCAGCCGAGCCAGTGGCCCCACGACCGCCGGGACGAACCCCTCCGCGCGTCGTGCAGACGACGACGAGGAGGATGCGCAGGGGAGACGGTGGCGGACAGCGACAAGGGAAAACCGGAGGAGGCGCGCCCGCACGCCTCGGCGTCACTCGGGGGGGCAGCGGTCCGCGCGACCCGGGCCCACCACGTGTCACTCGCTCTGACGTAGCGCCTGACGGCGACACGATCCGCGAATAATTCAAGCCGTCGTCGGGGCGGGGGAGGAGGAGGAGGAGGAAGGAAACGCGGACCCGGGGACGGGTAGCAACTAGGCGTCGAGGAAACCACGGCAGGGGAGGGGTCGGAGGCGACCGCGGAAACGGACGGAGGAAGTGCGCGCGAGGTCTCGACGCGCGCGGAAGGACGAAGCGGACGCGGTCTCGCGTCTTCCGTCGCCGCGCGCGCGATAACGCGATCACGCGCGCGAACGCGTCGTCGTCTGTGCGGTGATTTATTTCGGCGCGCGCGGTAATTTCGGGGCTGCGAGAGCGAGCGAGCGAGCGAGCGGAGCGGAGCGGAGCGGGCGCGAGGTGGCGAGGCAGCGCGTATACTCCGGAGGAGGGGATGAACGGACGGCGGTCGCGCGCGCCGCGAGCAAAGGAGAGGCCGACGGGATAGAGCGAGAGTAAAGCCCGCCGCCTGCGTCAGTGATGCACGTCGCGAGGAAACGGCCGCGTTCGCGAGCTGCGGTGGCGGCTCGCTTTTAATAAACCGTCGTCGCCGCGCGACGCGCAAAAGACGAACGACGGAAGTCTCCGCGGGTTCCGGCTCGCGCGGACGCCGCGCCGTTTGACGTTTGTGTGCGCACGTGCGTGCGAGCGCGTGTGCGTGGTGCGCGCGCGCGGGGACGGAGTAAAAGTTACGCGCTCCGATTCCGAAGACGCGACTCTCGAATGTGATCGAGAAAGAGCGAAAGAGAGCCGGCCCGTATCTCTCCGTAGGTAGACGGAGATTAAAATATTAAAATTGATCGTGACGTCGCTGCCTTTATCATTGACGTCCGAGGTTTATCGCTCAGCGATTCGCGAACGAGAGATTGCACGAGCGAGCGTAAAGTCTCCCGATTTACCCCGGCGATGCGGCGGGATCTCGGGTGTCGAGTCGGAGATTGAGTCTCGGCGAGACTCCGCGGGAAACGAGGCTCGGGGGAAGGTCGAACGAGGTCGAGAAAGAGGAGAGAGACGTCGCGGACGATGAAATTTTACTCAATCCGTGACACGCGGAGAGAGAACGAGACACCAAGTGCGCGCTAATCGAGTACGGCGCGATGACAAAGGAGAGGCCTCGTCCTCCCGGATTTCAGCCGCCACGATGGTCCCGCTTGCGAAATTACTGAAGACAACTACCGGCCCCGCGCGCGCTGGCGAGTCTCGTAGAGGCGAGAGGGAGAGAAGCTTGTCGCGGGCGGCGGTATCTGGAATTTACTCTGCTATACACACAGTGGAATAATCCGCGCGACGCAGCTGCGGGGACGAAGAGGTCGGCGGCGATAAGCATCTCGCCGGTGCTATCTAATCGCGGAATCGCCCACCCGCGTCGCGATCCGCGGCGTTTTAATCGGCATCACGGCGGACGCGCGTCACGAGATCAGTCCCGTAAATCCGCTGACGTCGATCGGCGCGGCGTGTCCGCGCGCGTTAACAAACGACGGATTGTTCCAACCCGAGCTCAGCCGGGCCGAGCGACCCGCCGACCGAAGGACAGCGCGATGATGTAACATGTCGCGCACCTTGTGTCCTGCCAAGTGGAGAACAGTGTTCGTCGATCGCGATCGCTCGCTCGCGTCGACCGGAAACGGACGGACGATCGCGGCAACGTTGTCGCGGTAAATTGCCCGACTCCGTGCCGCGCTACGATTCGAGTCCAGCCTGGCGCAGTCCGGGAGGAAGATATTGCAAGACAGAGCGGAGGCGCGTCGTCTTCGCGCGTGCGATCAGACCCGCGACCGGACAGAGGCGTTCGAGACGCGGAGGAGTCGACGTATCCGGCGTGCACCTCGCGCGACACGAGAGACGGAGAGCCGAGCGTCATCCACGGCGGGCGTACGATAATCTCGCGCGAATTCGCGACTAGTCATCGTCGTCATCGATCGACCGCCAGACGCTGCGCGCCGCGACGCCCTCTCCTCTCACCTTGCTCTCTCTCTCTCTCGGTCGGTCGTCCCCACCTGTACCGTCCCTGGCGTCGTGTCAGACATTTACGTATCACGTCGGAAACACACGCCTAGCACGCTCTCTCCTCGTCCCTTTCTCTATCCCCCCCCCCTCCGTTCCCGTCTCTCTCTCTTTCTCTCCGTTCTCCTCGTCTGTCTCCCTGGTCCGTTCTTCCTCCCCCCCCCCTCATCTGCCTTTCTTTCTCCGGATCCGTCGTCCGACTCTTTCGGCGCGCGAGTCGCGGTAGTCCGCGAGAGTGTGGAGTCCTGTTGCCAAAACAGGCGGGCGTGGGTCGCGCGCGTCTCTCCTGCGCCGAACGGTGCACCGCCGGTGGGCTTTGACATCGCCACCGGCGCACGAGGTGTTGTCGCGGTGCCGTAGGTGGGAATCCAGTACGTCGGCGTCTACCGCGGCGTGCGGACCTCGAGGATGTGTCGCGGCGCGTTCCAGCGTGCGCGCAAAAAAACGAGCGACTGAGCCAGGGAACGCGTCGGGGCGAGAAGCCGCGTTTACTCCAGGGAGTCCGCGGGGGTCGTTGCTCGGAGCCGCCGTCCGCCCCCGATTGATCCGCTCCTCTTTCTCTTTCTCTCCCTCTCTCTCTCTTTCTCTCTCTCTCTCTCTCTCTCTCTGTCTCTCTCGCGATGGTGATTAGTGACGGCCGCGCGACGCCAAAGTGATCCCTCGCGTGCGTACTCCCGTCGAGCGATCGGACGACTCGATCCCCTCCGCGGGGAAGGTGGTGCAAGAGTGAATCCTCGACGGCGGAATCCGACGCTCCGTCCCGACACGCGAGACTATCGGTCCACGAGGGCGCGTCTCGGAGGGAAGAAAAACAGATAGCGCGTAAACTTGTCTATCCGGTCGACACGCTCGCGGTGCGCGCGCCTGATGACGGTACGGCCGGAACGGGAAGGCACGAGCTACGGCAGGAATAACGCCTCGCCCCCGTTCCCCGTCTCCACGTCTCCGCGTTATTAACTCGAACTGGAACCGGTCGGGTAGTCTTCCTGGGAGGGTACGAGTCGCGCGATGTTTTGCTTCCAAAGCCCGTTCGCGCGGTCGTCGCGCGGCGTCGTGTCCGCCGCGTCGCTGTCGACGGGCAAGAGCAAGTCCTCGCTGAGCGGCGCGATCCTGTCGCCCACCGGCAGGACGTCCGGCGCGAGCGAGCGCAACCGACGCGGCTCCGAGGCGACCAGCGAGGGCTCCAACTCCTCCATCAGGTACATCGACCAGGAGGCCTCGATGTCCGGCAGCAGCAGCACGGACACTCTGCCGGGTATCCGCGCCGATTACCTCGATCCCGAGCCCCTGTCGCCCGCGGCGGACGCCCTGACCTCGCCGAGCGGCATCACGGTCGTTTTGAACGGCACCGACGAGCGACGGGACGAGAGTCAAAGGGCCTTGCCGTCGCCGAGCAAGAAGTCGAGCAACAACGGCAGCAGTTGGCGCCGCAAGCTCATGCTGCGTCTTCGCTCCAGCGATTCCCCGAGCCTGACGAACGGCGAGACGCGCTCCTCCTCGACGTCTCCCTCGCCCGCGAGCGAGTCGACCGCGGGCTCCTCGTCCTCGTCGAGGAACCCTCGCGCGGACGAGGACCGGCGAGGCGGCAACGCCACGGCGACGACCGTCTCGACGCCGTCGGTGCAAATCGATGTGTCTGGAAGCCCGACGAGGGTGACCGCCGCCGCCGCCGCCTCCGTTGGCGACATACCGTCTCTCGAGAACGGCTTCAGCGAGCCCGAGGAGGAAAACGACGACGAGGAGGACGAGGAGGAGGAGGAGGAGGGGGAGGAAGAGGAGGAAGAGGAGGAGGAGGAGGCTTGTCCGGAGACCGAGACGGAGGAGGGCTCGTCCTTGCCGTCCAGCCCCGCGGCCGCGTCCACCGTCGGCCTGACTTCCTCCACGGCGCCCTATTACGACTTCCTGTCGGTCAACGGTGGCGCGATGCGGCAGGAGACCACCAGCACCAGCTCGCCGCAGCTGTCGTCCGGCGCGAGTTTGCGTTCCAGCGTGGAGTCGCCGCCCGCCGACACCTGCAGCTCCTACGGCGAGGACAGCAGCCCGGGCATGGACTCGCTCAAGCCCGAGGGTCTCGACGCGACCACCGGGTGTCTGCCGGCCGCGAGATCCTGCCCGAATCTGGAGCGGCAGAGCGCCGGTTGCTCGTCGACCAGCGGCTCGTCGAGCCCGAGCCCGAGCCCCGGTCCGGCCGGGCCCCGCTTTAAACCCCTCCAGGAGGGTGACATACAAGTGTGCTATCTCAATCACACCCGGACCCTCGTCAAAAAGATCCTGTCCAGCAAGTTCCTCAGACGCTGGGAGACGCATCATCTCTATCTCAACGACACCTGTATGACCTCCAAGTCGGTGAGTACGGCCCGCTGACGCGAATGCGTCGCTCTATCGCTCGTGGGACGCCAGCTCAAGGGGGTAACCACCAGCTAAAATCAGGGTTGGGAAAGTTACTTTATAAAAGTATCTAGTTACAGCTACAGTTACAAGTCATCGATTCTGAAAAGTAACGCGTTACAGTTACAGCTACTCAACAAATAACGAATTGTTACTTTGCATTTACTTTTTGCAATGAAAATAAAAATATGAAATCTGCATTTAAATTGTAAAGTGTCGATGAAGGCGTTTATGCGCAAATGTAAGGCCTAATGCAATCTGTGGTTTAAAATACATATAAAGTAACTCTTAATGTAACTGAGTTAAGTTACAGTTACAGAGAGAAAGTAACGAAGTTAAGTTAAAGTTACAAAAAAAATGTTATAACTGCAACTGTAACGAGTTACTTTCCAACCTATAGAAATATGTAACGTTGTTAAATCTCAAAGAGCTGTTAGATTTCCTCAAAATCTATTTTTCTTATTTTACTAACAAGTTTGCTTGTACAGGTAATTTCAATTAAGATTGTAGTATTCGGTCACGTGTTTCCTTGCTTCCCACTTTTCCCACTAGTCTAACCGTGGTCTTAACGAAAAGTAATTTTGTATTTATTGTTTATTATTCCACATTTGCGCGCAAAGGTGTATCAATATTTCAACTTGCTGTTGTTCCAACAGCAACTACTTCAGTCTTATTATGAAAAGAATACACGCTTATAGGTGTCAACTATGATATATACAGGGTGTTATGTAATACCCGCCTCACCACTTATTTACGGATAGAGCGGATTAGACTGAGTTGAAAAGTCCTGTAGCATTTTGCAATTTTCGCAATGGTTAACAAGTTATTAATTATTAAAAGTCGCTGTCTTAGCCCGGCCTACCGCCTAATCCAAGCGCGCGGCGTGATCCGGCCGTCCCGCGATTGGCGTTGCTAGGCGCGCGGGGAGTTGTTTATGACACACGGCAACGGTTACGTATAATAATTGGGCGGTAGGCCGGGCTAAGACAGCGATTTTTAATAATTAATAACTCGTAAACTATTTCGAAAATTGCAAAATGGCAGAGGACTTTTCGACTCTGTCTAGTCCGCTCTATCCGCAAATAAGAGGTGAGGCAGGTATTACACAACACCCTGTACATGGATATTCACTAAAAGAAGTAAATTTTTGTAGAAAATAAAAATAAACTCAGAAAATGTTCTAGTTTACTGTTTATTGTCTAAGTGAAGAAACTTGAAAATTGGCACTGTCCCACGATTACATCAAGTGGTTACCCCCTTGCGCCAGCTTGCTCTACGATGGTCGCAAAACGCAAGACGCGAGAAATCGACCGATCGCAGTCAAATGCGAAAAGAACGATCGACTGTCGTTGGCCGAACCTGGTTCAAGTTTCGAAAAATATGTAGCACACCGATCAACTTGCAGTTATTCCGTAAAAGCTGCAAGTTGATTCTCGAATCTAGAACTTGGACCGAGTTCTAGCGTCGTGGACACGGACCTTCGGCGTCTTGCGTCTTGCGTTCATTGTGGATCGAGTTTAACGCGACAGTGAATGTGATTGGTCATTTTCTTAAATCTGACGTCTTAAAGATTGGCTCATTGTAAACGCCGCATTAGCCTCGATCGCCTCGATCTCTTCAGCCCCGCGTTCGAAAAAAAGGAGCATTTAAAAAGAGACCAAAGAAGGTATCGGATTTAGGAAGAGAGATCCTGTAGACTCCACCCGTCAAAGTCGGGACGAAAAATATTCGACGTTCTTGCTCGCAAGTGGAATATCCACCTGTGACAAAATTGTATAAGGCTTCTTCTTCCTCGTCTTATTCTTGGCACCCGGCTCTAACTCAGAGCCGACACGGCCACGTGTCGAACCAATAGTCGTTTGTGTATTACTTAGCTTCTAATAATTGACAAGAAAATTAAGGCCGCACCCAACCGACCTACCGCGTCGAGTTACACGTAAGTGAACAAAGTCAAAAATTTCCCAATTAGATTAGACAAAAACGCCTACGCAGCTCGGCACCCCAAGCGGAACTAAAATTGTATAAGGCAATCGTTTCTTATCCCGAGATTTGAACGCTAGAGAAAAGCCCCCGCGAATCCGCTCGAGGTCTCTATTCTCGGTCGCTCGGGTCGCTTCCGAGCTCGCTACATTACCGCGCGTAGGCGTGCCGGTGAGTTTCCATCTGTGTATCATTATCCGGATTACTGGTTACTATGATAATCTGCGAACGATAATACGATTGCAACTACTCGAGAATAAATCCCGCCGTCTAACTTTGTCTCTCAATGGGATTATCGCGATCGACAAATCGATTTCAGATATACGCACAGTGAATGCAATTAGAAAACTACCGGCCGCGCGGAGAGAGCGGGGCATGAAGAATTCAGTTCTTCTCTCTCGGCTGCGAGGGGGAGAGAGCTCGCGCGCAGGCAGCCGCCTATCTCTCCGATAGCTTCAAGGACGGCGCGAGCGCGGTTTCAACTGTTTATTTTGGAAGTGACAGGCAAGTTTGGAGATGACGAATTTAGCCGGTGTACTATCTCACGTGTCGCGCCGTATCCACTTGAACGTTTCCGCCTCATAATCCGATCTGCTCGGCTGCTTCTCACGCAAAGGACGCGTTTATCGTAGTTCGTTATGTAAACTCGCGCCGGCCGAAGTATTCATACTTCATCATCGCGATTCACAGTGGCTCCTTTGACGCTGGAGTTCCCGTAATTGAGAAGCCGAGCACGCGAAAATAATTTAGCCGCCGCCGCTTTTTTTACATCTCTAATTTAGCAACTACTGCTCTTTACATCTCTATTTTAACTTGGACAAGTAACGTTCTACCGTGTGTTACGTCGCAATATTTTTCCTTCCCTTTCAATGCCGCTAAGTTTATAGTGCTTGTAAATATTTAGTGGTGGAAGCGCCGATCCGCTAATCAATTTCAACAATCGCCAAGTTGTACGACTTATCATTCGTTTCTGAAAAATAGTCTCTTCTCTTCCACTCGCGATGCTCCTAAGCCAGGGTTCGGACAGTTACTTTATAAATGTATCTAGTTACAGTTACAGTTACTCAAAAAGTAACTAATCGTTACTTTACAGTGAACTTTTTGCGATAAAAATAAAAATATCACATTTGCATCGAGGGGGGGAACCACTGAGGGCATTGTGGTGTACAGATTTGCGGCATTACTGGCCATTACTAGGCGTTTTTTGGGCATTAGGCCTTGCTGGGGCATTATAAAGATAAAATAAGATAAAATAAGATAAATAAGATAATAAGATAAAGTAATGCCCACTGGGGCATTAGTGGGCATTGGTATACAAGATTTTGGTCAGCGGTTTTCCCCTCGATTTGAATTGTAGTGTTGATAAAGGCGTTTATGCGCAAAAGCAAGGCTTAATGTGATCTATGGAGGTTTAAAATATGTAAAAGTAACTATTAAAATTTAACTGTTAAATTAGTTACTAGTTATCGAAAAAATGTAACTGAGTTAAGTTACAGTTACAGATCGTCCTAGTAGAAATGAAATCATGCATACCTTATGTATGGTCAGGGCCCGATAGGAAGGAAGTAAGGAATGCCCTAATAAGGAATCTCTGACATGTGCCTGATCTGGTATGCCTGATTCCCTCATAGAATTTGATAAACGTTAACCTGAATATATAGCACTAGTACCACTCACTACCGCTACGTGGCGACCGCGCGTTAGTCTTTCTTGTAAGTAAAAATTATCCCGTATTAGTATAAAAGACGAGCCGATATGATGCAACAGCGAGTTGTCTGGATCATGGATAAACTTCAATAACCTGAATATACTTTCGATGACTATGTAATTTAACACAATTTAAAAATTAATTTAATTAACTGAATTTTTTAATAGGAAGCCTACTGATACCCCCCCCCCCCCCTATTAGAAATTATGAGGCGCAACAAAGGGCAAGTCATGAGGTTTTGATAAGGAAAACCTGATCAGGCAATTTTAATTCTCGACGTTACATTTACGGTCAGGGCCCTGTCAGGGCTGCCTGATGAGTGCCTGACCAGGCATTAAGGCATCCTTATTAGGCCTCTACCAAGACCCTACTAAAATTTCTGCTCAGAGAAGAGAAAGTAACGAAGTTAAGTTAGAGTTACCAAAAAAGTAACTGTAACTGTAATTTTGTTACAAGTAACGAGTTACTTCCCAACCCTGTCCTAAGCGAAGGAGTGTTTACGAATTTGCAAGCGCGGGGGTGTATCGAAAATCGTTAGAGCACATATGCATTATTGTCGGCCGCTCCGAGAGTCCGCTGGTCGTTCTTCCTCGATTTCTCGTTATCAGCGGGTCGGGACAAGCGGCTCGCACGTAACGCACGAAACACACGACGCCGGAGACCGGTCATCTCGGGCAACGACGATTACGCGAGTAATCCCCGCTTCCCCCGTTCGTCCTCGTCCGCGATTCGCATTGTATCAGAATGCAATCTGCATCATCAGGGCATGTGCAATGGCGATTTATGGCACGCTATCGCGCCGATACACACGGCAAGGAGCCACGACGATCGCGACAGCCGGCATCGACGAGCGTAGCGACGAGGGGCTCCTCCTTCTCTCGCCCGGTGGGCGATGTTACGTAATTGCGAATTTTCCGACCGCGCGCGGGCGAAGAAGGAAGGAAAAAGAGGCGGAAGAGAGAAATGTCGGTCGGAGAGGAAAAAAAAGACCCGGCTAAATTCGTTACCTTCGGCTTTCAGTGGGCAATCACGATGTTCGATGCCGATTGCCTGATTACGGAACCGCCGCCGTACACACCTTTCCCCCCCCTCTCTCTCTCTCTCTCCACAACCCCATGCTCCGCGAAATGCAATTTATCGTTTCGCTTTGTAGAAGAGCGTGCTTGAGAACGCGGAGTGGCACTTGATGCACTTCGTCGACGTGATTGATTCTATTTCCGTAGCGATGCATTTGCCCTCCGACAAGATTCCGTCTTGTGCGGTAATTGCG